AGTCTAGCTGAAATTCTTCAAGTGTTGATTTCCTAAATGCTTTTCTTACTAGAATTGAAAAAATTTTCCCCTTTGTCAGAATTCACTGTGTCATGTAATGATCTTCACAAGCTAAGGAAATTTTTTTTGGCATGCATTTAATTATCTTGATATTTAGAATGTCAAGGCTGTGGAAATGTCATCTCTGTGCCTGTGAAAAGCATATCCAGTTAGTGGCACGGTGTGGCTCAAGCACGGCCTCACGCTTATTTTAAATGGTGCTAATTTGTATCTGTACCTCAAAACTCTTTGATTTTAGTGTTTACACCACCCTGCTCTCTGTTTCTGCTTTCAATACAGCCTTGCCCTAAACCGAAGTATTCTCTTGACATCTGCAGTTGAGAATAAAAGGACTCTCCAGATAGCATTTTGTTTACACCTGACTTCAGGACAGTGGTATCTCAGCCTATGTAGTCTGCATCCTACATAGATACAGAGACACTAAGAATAGGACAAGAAATGAATGACTGAGGTGTTGTTCCCAGAATATTCTTTTGTTAGAGACTTGAGCTACCACAGCCGAATCTGCCTTTTTTTTTTTTAATTGCTAGAGGGTGAGTGAGCTCACTAGAGAGAGTGAGAGCAAGAGAGGGAGAAAGCAACCCACAATGGGACATTGTCATGCCACAATCTCTTCCTGTTTTTCCATCTTGCTTGATGTATTTTTCATGTCATCAGGTCTGAGATTCAAACTGGTCGGCCATATAGAATCTAGCTCCCTTAACTACTAGGCTATGGGGCTGGCCCAGCCCTAGCCTTTTTTGGGGTGGGTGGGAGGGAGAGGATTTTGCTACAGGGCGTATGCACTCACCAGAAAGACAGAGAGAGACAGAAAGCGAGGAATCACCCCCCAGGGGGTATGGCCACACTGCAATCCCTTCTCTATATTCCTCTCGGGATCTTGGGCACGCATGCACACGTGCCCGGCGTGAGTTTAAGCCACCAGGTCTGGCACTCGAACCACGGTCGGCTACATGGGAAATCCCTTCTCCTCCATTCTCCTCTTGGGATCTTGGGCACACATGCATACGCGGCTGGCGTGAGTTTAGGCCACCAGATCCTGGACTTGAACTGTAGTCGACTACGTGGGAGTCCAGCAACATAGCCATTAGGCCAACTGCTGGTCCCGCAATCCCCAGCCTTTTTAAACTGGAAGTTTTCATCCAGGAATAGACCTAGCTGATTGGAACTACTATAGTCTCAATAAAACACATCAATATGCAGAGTTTTATGCAAAAAACTTTTTTTTCAACTGTACAAGCCATCTCTAGTGAACCTTTTCCTGACAGCTTATTTACTGATTCACTCTGGGTGCTGAGTACATCTATCTGTTTTAGAGTTAGTACCTGACTGTGTGGATTAACCCTCATCCCCGTCCCCCCGCCCCCCCCCAAGAATAACCATAGCTAGTTTGAGGCTAGCCTCAGCTACTACTGTAGACAGAATAGCTATCATTTGTGTATAACACTTGATGCTCACCAGAGACAGGATGGTCAGGCCTGGTTCCACTTAATGAGATTCTTACCTCCTCCTTTCAGATTTCCACTTCAGCAGATTCCATATTACCTATGGGATTGCAGTCTTCTTCTTATCAATCTAGACTATATTTAACACTGCAGAAAAGTAAAGCAAAGCTCTGGGTAATGATCTGACAAATTCAATCATTGAACAGAAGCTACACTTTTTGTTTTTGCCACTATTTCCTTCTTCCATCAAACCCTGCATTTCTGGGTGTGATTGCCATTTAGTCAAATCATTAAGTTAATAGCCAGACCTTCACTTCAAATTAATACTGTGTATAAACAGCTTGCCATTATTATCAGCTTATATGTATAGAAATTACTTTGTTTCTTAGACCATTTAACATCCAATGAACCATTACACACAAAATTAAATTTAACCAGTTTTCTCTTTGATGAGTCATAATTTAAGATCTATAGGACTTTTTACGTTACTAAAGGCAGTATCAATTTGTTCCCTTCAGTACCATTATAAACATTTGCTTAACCTTCTTAAAAGTGACCCAATTAGTATGAAACATTGAAAAGATATTTTTAGGACAATGTTTGACATGACAAACAAAAAGTAGACTGCTCAGCTCAGTTGGAAAATAATGAGGGTTTTTTAATGATCAACTATCAGTCTGCTAAACAAATGGTTTTGATCCATTTTGAAAATGAGAGGCTATATTCTTCCTGTATAATTCCCTTCCTAGTCTTGTGGCTATGCCTAATGGTGTAATTTCATAGTCTGAGTATATACTCTAATTCCAGTAAATCAAGCCAACGACTGTTTATTCAGCTTCTACTCTATATATCTGACATGTGTCCTAGAGACACTGAGGTTACTATTATGAATAAAGAAGCACCCACAAATTGTTCACCATATATTTGGGGAGACACTAGACCTAATTATAACAAATGTGATTATAATCGACCAGAAGTTGGGGTAATGAAAGATTTGTGTGATTGTGGTCAAGTCAACAGCAATGACAGTATTTATATAACGCTGTATAGATGACGGAACATAATTATTGGGCTTCATTTTCTCATCTTTGTAGTCTCATGCAGCAAATGTTATTATTATTTTTAGAGAGATTTTTGCTATAGGGTACATGCAAATGGTAAAAGACAGACAGAAATCAAGAAGTCACCCCACAGGGAGTATGGCCACAACATAATCCCTTCTCCTCCATTCTCCTCTTGGGATTTGCATACACACACATGTGCCTGGCATAAGTTTGGAGTTTTCAGGTCCGGGACTCAAACCATAGTGAACTGCAGGGGATCCAGGAACACAACCACTACGCGATCTGCTGGTTGGGCAGCAAGTATTATTTAGGGTTAATATTTAAAGCTCAGAGAGATGAAGAGATTTCCCCACCATCACTAAGTTAGTGGGCGGTGAAGCTAAGACTGCAGTCCTAATGGAGCATTAAGTTGAACCATAGAACATTTTTTTTTTTTGGAGAGATTTTCACTGTAGGGCGCGTGCGCTCGCCAGACAGACAGAGAGAGACATAGAGACAGAAAGCGAGAAATCACCCCCCAGGGGGGATGTTCACGCCGCAGTCCCTTCTCCTCCATTCTCCTCTCGGGATCTTGGGCACGCACGCACACGCGCCCAGCGTGAGCTTTAAGCCACCGGGTCTGGGACACGAACCGCGGTTGACTACGTGGGAGTCTAGTGACATAGCCATTACGCTAACTGCTGGTTCCCAACCATAGAACATTTTTGACCCATTTTTTTTAAGTTTCTTTCTTCCATTGTGAGAGAGACAGAGTGATGACAGAGAGTGATGACAGAGAGACAGGCATCCCAGTAGAGTTCCCATGCCACAGTCCACCCTATCCCCATCTGGCCCCAGACCAAGTGTGCCCTGAGCACATGTGCCTTGTGTGTTTAGGGAGACCTCTGGACATGAACCTAGAACCTTTCCATGTGAATCAGCTTCATAGAGTGTTGCATTACCACTGCACCACCATGTATCCCCCTTGAACCAATTTTGACCTACAAAATGGGTGATTTAATATATTTACTTGTAGTTCAGAGCTCTTTCTACCTTATAGAAACTGGTTTACTAAGAATAGGAAAACAACCACAAAGTGATTTTTCCTTCATTGATTTCACACAGTCATTCAATACAATATGTTTTTTTTTTTTCTTTAAGGTTTTTCTAGAGGGTACATGTGCTTGCCAGAGAAAGAGGCAAAGAGAGAGAAAGTGAGAAATCACCCTTTGAGGGGGATGGCCATGTATGCCACAATCCCTTATCCTTCATTCTCCTGAAATTTTGAGTATGCACACATACGTGCCCAGTGTGATTTTTAAGCCACCGGGTCCAGGACTCAAACTGTAGTCAGCCATGGGGGAGTCTAGCACTTGAACACTTCTGACACAAAATGTGTGGGACTTTCCCCCACATAGCACCACACAATTTTTTAGTGGATACCAGCTGGGTGCTCTGTAATTCAACTCAATTCTGACACTGTCTACCTGGAGATAGCTTCAGATCCTCAGGTTGAGACTTTAGTCCAAAGCTGTCCCACCACTTCTGATGCCAGCCTCAGCCAGCCCAGATCAGGGGCATGTGCATGCTCAGCATGTTCAGGCACTAGAACCTGGAGTGACCTGTGCTTCTGACTGACAGACTATGAATCAGAGTCCCCACTATCTCTTCCTGGATTGATTTAATTTTTAGAGCTGCTCACAGAACTCAGGAAACACTTATGTTTACTGGTTTATTATAAAAGTATATTATAAAGGATACAGGGGCCGGCAGGTGGCATGGTGGTTAAGGGCTCTGGACTCCCACATGGCCGACTGTGGTTCAAGTCCTGGACCTGGTGGCTTGCTTTCTCTCTCTCACTCTATCCCTCTGTGG